CCCCCCCCCCCCCCACCCCCACACACACAGGTGAAATGAAAGTGTTTGTGTTCAGAGCTAAATTGTGATTTGAACCTTAAGCCTTCTTCTTCACAGCCTGACATACCAACTAATATGTTACACCCAGTCTCAAGAACAAGAGATTAAGTATGTTATAAATCATCAATAAAGCTAGTGTCCTACTCAAAAAAATAAAATTGTCAAACAAACCAATTTACTTTTGTCTAGAAATTTCACATATTTGATAATAACATAAACTTATAATTCAGAGATTCCCCCCCCCTTTTTTTCCCCATAAAAAAATAAAGATGTGCAAACACTATTTTTTGATGCACATAATACAAATTAAATAACATTTTCATTTTTAAAACAGTTGCTTACCAATATCGCCAAGTTCAAGTTTGCGAATGTCTGGACGTAACCGTGAGTCCGTGAGTGGAATATGATGCTTTATGTCATCATCTAACTCATTTAGAGCCATAGCAAACAGTGTAAAATGATAATACTGAAATAAAGCAGATAAATATATGATGTCTTAACATATGTTACTACTCCTTGACATTGCTTGGTGAATGGAGTTTAGGCAGTCCTTACTAAATGGTAGGGTCTGTGCTCTAAACTAGGATTTAAAACATATCAAGTTGAAAAGTATCATTCCTTTTATAGAGAAACACTCCAATTCACAGAAATTATACAAAGATCAAACCTTTTAATAGTCAAAAGAAAAACAACAGTTATAAACAAATATAAACTAATATTTGTGACAAATTTTAGAAAATAAAATTTTGAAGAATGGAAAGTAGGAACTCTGAACATATTTTGACAAAGAGAAAAAAGTAGGTACAAGTAGGTATAGCAGAAGAAATAGCTAAGCAACATTTGACAAATTTTACTTAAAATATCCAATAGAACACAGGAAAAGCTATGAAGAGTGTTAAAAAACTCAAACATTAGAAAGCATTTACAAAAAATGTTTTACACAAGATGAACAGTTCCATTAACAAAGAAGCACAAAAAACATACCTACTTCATTACTAGAGTTACAAATGTTTAAAAACTATACAAAGTTTTGGAAATAAATGCTGTATATCTACTTCATTACAAGAGTTACAAATGTTTAAAAACTAAGCAGAAAGTTTTGGAAATAAATGCTGTATATCTACTTCATTACAAGAGTTACAAATGTTTAAAAACTAAGCAGAAAGTTTTGGAAATAAATGCTGTATATCTACTTCATTACTAGAGTTACAAATATTTAAAAACTAAACAAAATTTTATGTAATAAATGCAACAGTTGGAATTAAAATTCATTTTCAATGAAACTATAAAGCTGAGGTGAGAGAGAGAGTTGTAAAATCAACAAAATAAATGTGTGTAGTATAATTTTCTCTATAAAGAAACTTAAACGAAACACTATGCTTATCAGATAACCACATACAAAACTTGAAAACATACCTCAGAAGAATATTCAGGTCTTTGATCTACTTGCCACAATATTAATGAATTTGGTATATCCAGTGACCAGTAGGAATCACTTGTAGGTACTTCATCACTAACATCATCATCAATAGGCTGTAAGAACAGAAACAAATACAAGGTTATTAGTGAGAATAACACAAGTGTTAGTATACTGCATATAGTGTATGATAATTTTATATGTAAGCTCACAGTGTTATATCAGCCATCATGTTCTCTACCTATTAATATGCCTTGTAGCTTGGTAGGAAACTTTTATTCTCATATGTCCTTCCTTTAACTTAGCGGGTAACTGCTGTTCTTATTGGTCTGTCATTTAATAACAATGCATATCACTCTTAAACTAAGTTGGACTTTGAAGAGCACATTTATAAGTCTGTCATGTAATTTAGCAGGAAACATTTAGTCTTAAAGGCATGTAATGCAACTTAGCAGGAAACTTATTTTTAAAGGTATATCCTGTATTCTAGCAGGTAAAGGTATGTCCTGTAACTTAGTATGAAACGTTTGTTCTTAGAGGTATGTCCGTTACATAGAAAGAAACATTCACCTACCTAAAATCATAAATAATATTCAACGTTAAACTGGTACACAATTAAAAACATTTTATTTAGGCCTATCTATGGTCTTCAAAAAGTTTAGACGTTACAACACGTAGAGTCGTCAACTTTTTGAAGGCCATAGATAGGCCTAAATAAAATGTTTTTAATTGTGTA